CTCTCAACAAAGCCCCCAGTCGCACACCCTCGCGTGGAGAGAGCCACGCTCCCCAGCGGTAACGTTTAACCCGCCCTAACCCTCACCGTGGTCGTCAAACCACAGCAGCATCCACTCACCATACTCTCGGCTAGTGCAATTTTGGGTATGAGCAGCAACTCGGCCATGCTCCTCCCTTACTATCCCATCAGCGATGGACACACACCAGCATCTTAGAGTCTGACGCTTTATAGCCAAGGGAAGATTCATCCCTCGGCAAGGCCAGACACCATCGACCCCCCCCACGAGGCAATGTTCCCTTATACATTCAACAACGCCCTACCCAGAGCAGAACAAGTCCGCGCCCTTCCCGCTGGAGGACCCGCATAGAGAATCCCCGCTCCATGCCAGCCAGGTCACCCTGTTCGCTGGCACGTAACAAAACCTCCACTCCGGAATACCGTGAGCCCCCGGCACACCAGGTTCAGTCTGTTACCGCACAACTGAACCACGACTCCCCGAGCCATATGAGCACACGGACCATTAATTAGAGACATATCACGGAGTGTCTTGCCTCCAGGCTGTCAGGTCAGCCATCAGCCATAGGCCGATGTGAGCACAACTCGTGCATCACCCACTCAACAATGGCAGGCATATGCAGATGAAATATTTGCCCCACCGAGGGTTTCCCTGCGCGCTCAAAATGGCGGCCCCCTGCGCAAAGCGCATCGTCGCAATTTCTGGCGCGCACTCAAAATGGCGGGCCAACGTGCGAACACGTCGCCAGATTTCCCCGTGCGTGCACCCCAGCTGCCCTTTGCTGGGGGCACAACACACATTCCCCGTCACGTTTTAACAACCCCCCAATGATAGGACGCACAGCCGCAGCTCACTGCGCACAGCAGTCGTATCGGGGGAATTTTTACCTATATTTGACCAAACACATTTCTTACACACACCGACTCACAAAGCAACCCCTGGCCGCATGCAATCAACAGAATGAGCGACGCCACTTGGCGGCAATTTACGGCCCCTTCACCTTTAACAGCAGAGTCACCAAGAACAGCATCATCGCGCGCCCTCTCTCTCAACAAGCGCAATTACCCATGAATACACATGCAATCTCGTGTGCATAAACACCCATACAACCAAATTTTTGGGTCCCCCCCCCCCCGAATTTTTACCAATTTCCAAACGGGTACGCACAATTAATGACAATCCCGAACCCAAAGGTCAAGCAATGCACCGCACTCCGTATCCGTACAGAACAGTGTAAATGTTGGGGCCGCTGGTCCCCGAAGTCCCTCCCTGCTTCGTGCCTATGGCAGGGGCTCTGCTGTTCGTCGACCCCTCGCTACTCTGTGAGCAGCTGCTGCCGTCGCTGGGCTCATCGCCCGACGGCTCCCCTCCCTTGTCCGTCCCTCCGCGAGCTTGTGTGAGAAGCATAGCTCGCCGCACGCTCTCGCTCACCTGCAAATGCTGCGTTGTCTCTCCATAAATCCCGCGCTATTAAACGGGGGTCAGGGGTCGGAGGGCGAATGACGCTGCCCTCACACTGCGCGAGTCCCTGCGGCGATAGACGGAGTGGGGACCTGCGGACGCACCGACCCCTTCCCCCACACTACGAGTGCACACACCTGCACACACGCGACACCCACTCATGCGCCACTCCGCGCAGCGCTACCCCGAGGCGAGCCGCAGCACTACACGTGTTCACACCGCTCACGAGATCACACGAGGCCACGATTCGCTATTAATGATTTATTATCTGCTACCTGGTAATTGATGTTAAATCAGTGAGTCGACGAGGCTGGCCTATTCCACTAAACCTGTACCTATTCCCTATTTATCGGTTATGACCCTACTGTACCTCCTTACTCACTGTTGGGGTGCCCACGGCGGTTTGCTGCTCCCTGTGCTAACAGCGTACCTCGATGCGTCGCACGGACGTTCGGGTCGCTGGGCTGGAGCCGCGTCTGGTCCTCTGGCGCTGGAGTAAGAGAGCGATTTCCCCTTTGCGCCCCCTATTTATCCTCCCTACATCAAAGGGATGCGGCTCTGAGTTTTTCCTTAACAATTGGCTCGCGCACGGCGGTTCCGGGCGCTTTTGATATGCTAATCAATGTGCGGCGTGGGCGGCGTAAATCCTAATTAATCCCTTACCCCCCCTAACAATGGTGCCTGCACGCTCAAGCGTAATTATCCCAACCCTCCATGACTATGCGCAAGAGCCCCTGCGGTCCCGCTATTCATGCTGTCCCATCCCTCCCCTGCTTGCCCCGTCGACACGTGGGTGGTGTGTGTGGGGGATGCGCTTCAACCGCGGTGGCCGAATGCCCCTCGCCGCGGCCATACCATCTTAAGGCCGGTCGCAGCGCCGCGGTGCAAAGTAGTGTCGGGGGAGGTCGTCCAATTCCCTGATCGCCGGAAACCGTGAGAGTTAATCCCGATAAGGGTTTCTCGGATAAAAACCGGTCGATCAGGTGACCTTCCCTTCCAGCTCTATGGGGGGGGGGGGGGGGGGGGGGATGCGTGCGGGTGTGTTCATGTGAGGTGAGGTGAGGGGGACGAGGGGTTGGCTCCGTTGCTTGGTGGTGGTGAGGTCGGGGGTCGGGCGCCTGCCGAACGGCTTCGTGGTGGCGGCATCACATAAACAGCACATGCAGTCAGCATATCCCGATCACAAGCGTACATTTAAGCACAATAGCAAGCAGATCTGCAGGCAACCAACACACCATTAACCCTGTCGCACCTTGCTGCAACAACAAAAATATTCTCTCTTTTGCAATCAACCACATCGCACACGGCACCTTGCAGCAACAACACACCAAAAAAATATTTTTTTTTCAATTTAGCACGTCGCACACGGCAACCCACGAGATGGTAGCAACGCGGGATACACGACGCAACCGAGTTAATAATTAACTTCGCCATGAAGATAACATCTCCTTGCCGCAACGCACACACACTAATTGACACCGAGCAAACAAGCAGATAGCGTCCATTGTCAACACACACACACACACAGCCCGAACCGCGCTCCGCACACTCGAGACATGACAACAATCGCCCCCCTGGCACACGCTAGATAGGTGAGGTGTGTGTTAGGGCCGGGTGCGTAATGTTACGACTCGCCCGGGGCAGCAGCAAGCAGAGGACGGTAGGGTGGTAACTTGAGACGCCTCGCAGAACTCGTTCGGTGACTTGACTGCTCCGGTGTCTCGCACACGAGCCAGGACGGGAGAGCTCCCGCCCCAGCTGCAGCAGCGTCGGCGTCCTCTCCTTGCGGCTCGCAAAACAGCAGCTCAGCAACAGGCTGCACACCACGCGGCGCCTCCAGATGGCAGCGCACGGCCACCTCTCCGCCGCGATGTTGAAGATGGCGGCGTCTTCCCGCCGCGGCGACGACAAGATGGCGGCTTCCCGCCGTTTTTCCCCGACCACACCCAAGATGGCGGCGCCCTGCCGCGTGTTGGAGAGGCGGGAAGCGTGGGCCAGGCCCCAATGGCGGACGGCTCAGCCCCACTCGGAGGCTCACCGCTTCCAGGCCCGTCACGTGGCCGATCCGGCCTCGTCGCCGGTGCCACCAGGGTGACAAAATCCAGCAGAATGGCCCGCAGCGATGCAAGTTGGACCGCCACGTGGCCGCTGGAGGACGTGTGCCGACGGCCATTTCTTCGTCGTCGGAAGACGTAACAAGTGGGTTATGCTTTTTCAAGTGCTCGGCCCTCTTCCTCGATGTTATTTTGCCTTGAAAAAGTCCACTCTGACACCAATGTAATAAAGGACTCCATCACACGATGTTGATCTCCGTTGGTCCTTTATTTGTGTTCGTCTTCCGCTCACCCCGCTTGGCCTCCTCCTCGGCCCAGCGTCGTCTCTCCTTGCGCCCCGCGCACTCTGCAGCTACCCTGCTGCTCCGCTCTGCAGCCACACTGCTGCTCCGCTAGCCCTGCAGCTACTCTGCTGCTTGTGCAACCTCGCACCCTCTGCTAGCCTCCGCTAGCTCTGCAGCTACTCTGCTGCTCCGTGCAACCTCGCACGCCCTGTGCTAGCCTCCGCTAGCTCTGCAGCTACACTGCTGCTTCGTGCAACCTCGCACGCCCTGTGCGCCCCGCGCACTCTCCCTCTGCTCTCTCTGCACCCCGCTGGCTGGCGCCGTCAGGTGAGCCCCCTCAGCCTCCAAGCTGAGGGCACGGCGGCCACCCAACGTGGTCTCCCTCTTCACTCCCTCGACTCTCCAGATGTCTTCCTGTCTCCTTCCTATAACCTCTCCCCCACGTGACCCTGACTCCACCCTCTTCCACGTGACCCTGACTCCTCCCTCTCGGATCGTCACATCCGGCCGGCCCATTTACGCTCGCATTACACCACTTTGCCGTCAGCAGCCCGTGTTATTACATTACATTTTATGATAAAAAAAATTTAACTAAGATATATTTTTGAATGCATATATTTTTTATGGCTGCTCGTTCCAATTAATTTGCAGTGGTAACAAGTCGTTGACTCGTTGTAAGTGAGGCATATTACACCTAAAATAACAGTCAATTTTAAACGAAAGTAAAGCAACATGGCGCTTACCATGCGGTCGTCCTGTCAGAACATTTAATTTGTTTTCGATGAATATGAATGGCATCCTTTTAAAGCTGTGTAATCCTATATGATCATCGTAGTAAAAAAATTGTTGACATTTTAGTTCATAATATTTTTAGGCTTACCTTGTTTTTTTTCCAATAATTTCAAATTAATTCTGCTTATCTGCAGCACATAGTCGAATGAGGGCACCGTAACGACATCCATCCAGCGGCTGGACGAAGTTCCGCATTAAAAAAGCGGCGTGACAGTGGCGGTAGTAAGATGGGCAGCAGAACCAGCTGTAGGAAGTTATCACTGAAGGCCTATGAAACAAGTACCTCGGGCCACCTAGACGAACCTTCTTACGGCCCTGGTATGTATAAACACATTCTAATGTGCATCTATTAAGACAAATTGCTAAACATGCAATGTATCTTTTTCCACAGGTTATATATTGTCAAATTCAATATATCACATTCCTGCCAGCCATTTTTCCTATGCCACGTGATGGTTTTTCCTCTGGCAACCTTCGCAATGGGAATGTCTTAATCAAAGATTTAAGTCCCAGCAATCACGAGTGGCATCACTAGGATACAAAGAGTGGCTGTCGCTCTGCAGATGGCTCACAACTTGGCGGTGCATTCTACAGGTAATTCTACAAAGTTTGAGATGTAATGAAATGCCTAAACCGTACACACACATACGTATGCCTTCACATCAATGCTTCATTCAATGGCATTAAACTACACAATGTATGGATGCATCTGCACAATTATAACGGTGCATCCATTAATGTATCTTGAGTCACAAAACATGCATCCTATGACATGTGTAAGGATTCGATGATTCTATACTTGCATGTTGCTCTTATGTGTTCAGCTCACATTGCCCTCCCCCTAGCCACCAGAAGCCACTCCATTCACCACAATGTACGGATGATTGATTGTTGAATCAAATCGCGACAATGAATGCCTTGTACCCCGGATTGCTCTCAACGAGAGAAAAACACGTGAAGAAAAATCATGTGCACGTATGGGTAATGTAAAGATTTATGAAAAATAAGAATGGGTTTTTACCCTGTCTGGCAATGAAACGGGAGTTCTTTTAAGGTTTTCAAACACCACGTAGATGTGTTTTGCAAGGCATCAAGTCTGCATTAAACACACGTACTTGTGGCAAAACATGCAAACAAACAATGTATGTGTAATAAAGGTCGCGGAGGCAACTTCTGGAATCAGGTTTGTTTAGTAACTTTTTTCCACAGCTCTCATCGTACGGGCTCCTCTGCTATCTGACTCCTTCATGCTGTTGGCAGACAGCGTGAGAGGGTGGGATAGAGAGTCAGAGAGATTACCGTCGCGGCCACATGCCAGGCTCTGGACCTACGCTCCCGCGTGGCTTCTCCCTTCGTTCGTTCCAGTTCTGACCACGTGTTGCCCGTCTCCACCCCTTTTAATCCCTGGATCACGTGGTGCCTCTCAGCCAGTCCTGGGTAACCTCCCTGGAATCTTCCAGATCCCATCCTCCGGTCCCAGGACCACGACCCTAACTCGTCCCCCCATTTCCTGTGGCTGAAGCCAGCAGGGCCAATCATCTCCTTCCAGGTGTCACCTTCACATTACGTCAGGACCACACCCCTACTCCTCTCCCCATTGGTTATGGACCTGGACCGGTAGAGTCAATCATTATCAATGAGGTGCGACCACTTAATCACCCAGGTGTACCCTCACATTACATATGCATTGCCTTGGTAACTGATCGGCCTACACCAGAGACAGCCTTCTATATGGCCTTGTCTCACCACCAGTGTCAGACCAGAGAATGCCAGTACAAGACAATGCAAATATCACTACATTATACAGTTACATTTATGGGACCCACAAGTACATGTGGTTTATGCAGACTCGATGCCTTGCAATATATATCTATTTGGTGTTTGAAAATCTTAACACAACTCATGTTTTATTGCCAGAAAGGATAAAATCCATTATTTTTCATAATTTTGGATACTGGCAAAAAGGTCCCCACAGATATATGTAAAGCTTACTATAACATGCGTTTATCCTCGACAGTAATGAATTAGGATTACATAAACTGACAGGCAGCTATCAGGACAAAAACGCAAATGAATGTTGTGAAATCATTACTTTTGGTTCTTGCATGGATTGCGTCCGAACATTTTTTTACTGTGGCTTGATTTTTTTTATTACTGTGGCTTTGTTTTTGTCTTCAGTTCAGTAAGCCCCCCCCCCCAATCGCAACACAACCTCACGCCGAGCCTTTGCTCACAGAGGATAACACGTGGCAGGGTTATCCTGGTCCCATGTTTACACACAGACGACACATGCGTGGTGCATGGTCACTTTTAACCTCGGTTGGAGAAAACCGTTTACCAGCAGTGTCCTCTTCTCCCACAGGCACCGCTGCTTCTGCCACCCAGGTCATAGCATCGGCAGGGACATCAACTCAACCTACAAATGCCAGACCGTATCTTATACCTGCCGTAACGGTGTGGACTCTGGTCTTCCTTCTGTTGCTGCTGGTGCTTCTGTACTCGTGCCATCGCCACTGCTGCCACAACAGTGATTGGTGCTGTTGGAGGAGACTCAGAAGTATTTGTAGCCGCAGCGGTGAAGGTGGTGGTGGAAGGAGTATCAGAGAGGGTCACCCTACGGCACAGGGGAAGGAAGGCTCGGACGAGACGCTGCACCCTGCTGCTGGAGAAACGCGCCCCGTGGAGCTGGAGATGAGTGAGGTTTGTGAAATCCTTATCCTTAAATCGATCTCAATCTCCCTGTTTGTAGATATTTAGCTGGGTGGTGGAGTTGGTGGCCACCGTGGCGCCCATGGAAGAGGTGGGAGTACCCAAACTTTGCCCCACCACCACAGGCGACCTGCTGATCGACTGCCTCTGGGGGAAGGGGGGGGTATGGAGGGATTTCATCAAATTTCTAGAGTGCAGGTCACCTTGGGTTGTGCTGCTCATCAATGAAACCACGGCAACATCTTTGCATCACAGTGGAGCCGCGTGGTTTGCGTTGCTGCCCTTTGCTGCCCGCCGCCACGGCATGGTGGGAAAACTCCACCATACAAGCGCGTTGGCCACAACCTACCCTCTCGGTGTGCCGTGTCGATCTTCGTAGGTGCTACCAGCCACGGTGGCTAGGAGATGTTAACTACCTTGCATGGAATACAGGAGGTCGTGTGTTCGATTCCGACCCTGACGCCTGTTGTATACTGTATTTGGATTTTGTGGTGTCTCTCTCTCTGCCCATGGTGAGATTTTAACTACCTCGCCTGGTATACAGGAGTCCGTGGGTTTGATCCCGACCCTGATGCCTGCTGTGTATTTGGAGTCTGCGTGTCTCTCTCCCCGTGGAGCAAATTGGCAAAGTAGGGGGCATAGGTGGTGCATCGGCCAGTGATCTCAGTCGGCCAACCGATGGCACCTGGGTCTGCCCGTGACCTCCTCCTGCACCTAGCCTAGCACGGCAGTCAACCAATAGTACCTGGGTCTATCCCGTCACCTCCTCCTGCACCTAGCATGGCATAGCAGTCAGCCCATGACCTGTTAGTAGAGAGCCTTAATATACTGCAAGGGGCCTCTGAGTGCACCTGGCCTGGCATAGGCGTCGTGATGACCTCATCACTTATACGTGGCGGTATTGGTGTTCATGTGTGAATTTGTGTGCGTGTATGTCGACAGATCGTGTATGCAAGCCTTCAAACGGAGCCTCTCCCTCCTGGCACGCAGGCTCACGGAGCTCCCGTAGAGGACGTGACAACGGTGTATGCGACTATCGTGGCATTCGGTGGGGAGAACGAACTTCCAGACTGAAGGAATGAACCGGCGTGCATCACTAAGTGGCGGTGACATCACCACGTGCGCTTGTGCTAGGCTAGGTGCACTTTGAGGCCATCACGTGAAGTGTTGAAGTCCCGATGGCAGGGGGTCACGCGACAGACCCAGCAGGTACCATGGGTTTGACTGACTGAAACGACTGGCAGATGCACCAACTGTCCTCCCCACTGTGCCAGGCTAGGTGCAGGAGGTTATGAAACAGACCCAGGTGCCATGGGTTTACTGCTGTGCCAGGCTAGGCGCAGGAGGTCGCGGAACAGATCCTGGTGCCATCGATTTGACTGAGTTGGCTGGCAGATGCACCACTGTACCAACTCGGTGCATTTTATCCGCCCGGCGCTCCGCTCGTTGTGAGCGATATTCATTTGCCGTCTGTAGTTGCTGAAGGGCGATCCCTCACCTAGCCAGTGTCAAGCCATTGTCACGCCGCAGTTGAAGAAGGCTGGAGCAGACACTTCTGACGTGAAAACTACAGGGCGAAGCCACTATAAATCTTGTGGCTATTCTTGGGCGTGAAAAAAATCTCATCCCGAGTCTGCAGTCAGCATGCCAGCGAGGTCACTGAAGAGACATCACTCCTGAAGTTTAACCACGACACCTGCATGGCAGCCACCTACACAGGGCCGGATTGAGGTTCTTGTATGCCCTCGGTACTTCTGTTTCGTAGGCCTTCGGCGATAACTTTCTACAGCTGGTACTGCTGCTCATGTTACTACCTCCGCTGCAACTCCGCTTGTTTTAAGCGATACTTCAAATTGTGAAAGGGAGCCTTCTTTTTCGAAGCTAAAGCTGATTAAAAAAATATCTCTACAACCAACCGTAGGACAAAAACGCTTGTCTTCCCTTTGCACTGCTCTCTATTGAGAATGAGATTGTGCTAAAACACCATTATAAGATGTTATTTGCAAATTTAGCAATTCATCTCACCTTATTCAAAAACCGACTGACACGACTGCCTCTTTGTATATACATTATTCCTACCCTTGCTATATAAATATATTTGTTCAAGAAGATACCTTGGTTAAAATTGTTATCATACAAACAACAAAACAACATGGTCAACATTTTTATTCGTGGACCCTTTATTTTTCGTAGGCCCCAGGCACTTTGCCTACTGTGGCCTATTTGATAATACGGCCCTGTACCCACAGTAAAGCCGTCTTACCGGATCTGTGTGATTCGGTTTGACATGGACGAGCTTGACACCTCGGGTGATCGCCTGCAGAGCACATCCGGACTTATGGGTGCCGTGACCTCACGGACTGAAGTCTTCACTGCGAGTCGGCCACATGCGGTGTGACATTTGCCCGAGGCCAGTCAATGAGACTACAGGTGTCACGCGATTCCCCGCAAGGAAGTTGATTCAGTCCAGTGTGCTTCACCACCAGATGTCACGGTATCAAACTAAACTAGTTTTATTTTTCTCTCCGCCTAAAGACGACTGCTTGTGTTGCAATCTAAACGTCGTCGTTTTTTATTTTTTTTTTTATAAATTTGAATCTATCTACGTGACTTTACCGAAAGACCCAAAGAATAGGTAAAGCCCACTGAGCTTTCTAGCTCTTGGCCACAAGTGATGGCTCGATCAAAGTGGCCTATCATTACGTTCAAATGGAAAGAAGACAAATACTCTAAAACGCGTGATTGTTGATTGTAAATGTGGAGGGGAAAAAAATTGGAAGACCCGGATAAAAATCCATGTGAGCACGGGGAGAGACACTGCAAACTCCAAGTGTACAGCAGGCGTCAAGGTCGGGATCTAACCCACAACCTACTGTATACCAGGCGAGGGAGTTAATATCTAGCAACAGCTTGCTCTCGTACGCCGGACACACAACTCTATATGCAGTCGTATGGCTCGCATATTCCACACCTGATATCAGAATATGTATTTATCCTGTAGATACCCAGATAAGCTACTGAGGATCGTTTTCATGTCCAGTTGGGGTACGGGGTCAGAGCGTTAAAACAAAAAACAATACAAATAAAATAAGATACCAGAGCAAAGCATCGAAAAGGAAAGCAAATTACAAAAAATACTTAAAATAGATAAACGTAAAGCACGTGTGTATGTCCGTTGAACTTCGTTCGCACCAACCACTGCACAACGATGGATGGATCAAAGTTATCAGAACACCACCTAACGTGAGTTGCCGAATGTCAGCTCAACGTTGACAAGGACGCCGATACACATTTACGCTCGTAAACATAAAAAATTGAATAAGTAAAAACCCACATGAAGCTGTCCAAACACAGCTTACAACGCGAACGGCTCTGCTTCCAAGTCGCCTTGTCGGAGAGTGATTGCAGACTCACGTCTTTTGCTGCGATACAGCGGACATCTATTAAATTCCCTTTCGTAACACTCCGTTTTGGGAATAAGGGATTGCGCAAAAATCCGTGGCCTATGCAAGAAATAACCTCAGTTATTTGGCTGTCTAATGGAGGCAGGCCTACGATACGATTATTGGATCGGTTATAATCAATTATGTTCGAGGACACCGATAACCTCTCTGAAAGAACCTCAGTGAGGAAAGCTTGCACATAGTCTCAGTGAGGACAGCCTGTACACAGAGACTCAGTGAGGTCAGCTTGTGTAATGTGAGGTTACACCTGGATGATAATGATAGGCTCTGCCGGCCTCAGCCCGCAACCAATGGGGAGTCGAGCCAGGGGCGTGGCCCTGGAGCTGGACAGTATCTTCTGGAAAGTTCCAGGAGTGTGGCTGAGGATTAGCTGCGTGGTATCACGTGGGCCAGGGATTATAAGGGGTGGAGAAAGACAGCACGTGGTCAGTGTGTGTAGGAACGAAGAGGGAAGCCACGTGGCGGGCCGCGGCAGTCTCTCTCACGCTGTCAGCCAGCAGCGGGAAGGAGCAAGGGAACCGAGTGTACGAATGCGGTGGAAGGATGTGAACGCAAAATGAATAAACAACTCTGAAGTCACGACGTCGTCTGAACGGGATTTATTACACTTGTACACAGAGACTCAATCGAGTCACCCCCTAGTATTGTGTGTGAGCTCACCTCTATATCGAGAGCTTCCATGCTGATTAAATTCTGTAGTTGCTTGACCGGACTCAATGTGTTGTCTGTTACGCAAAACTAAACGCTACATGAGGAGGTATTCAAAAGTTGGCTCCGCCGATCAACATGTGTAGGGAATCTCCACTGGCATGGGGTGGGGGGGGTCTGTGATGAATGGGCTGTGTGCATGTGTAGTGAGTCCAACTGAGTCGCAGCCATTATCTTTGGAGCAACACTATTTCTTTTGCATTAACACGTAACACAACACGATCTACACTCGGGTCTTGAATGCCCATCTAACCACGAAATGACAGAACTAGACACAGTTCGCTATCCCAGTCCGGACCACAAGCTGGGTCCCGGACCGCGTGGCTAGAGGCTTCCTTCTCCCCATCGTGGATCTTCGTAACAATAGCACACGAAGAACCCTGAGCTACTCACAGGGCCCTTGTTATATGCCCCCAGGCTGGGGCTGGCTCCGCCCTTCGTCCCGCCCACCTTCCAGGCCTCTCCAGCTCCTTCTCGAAGGTTCCCGAGAGCTCCTTTGGACCACGTGACCACCCCTCGGCCCCCGTCCACCGGTGGCCCCCCTCCAATATTGTCCGGTCACGTGACAGCAGGTCAACCAGTGTATCATGCCCCAAAGTAACCCTGGCTGGCTAATGCTCCCTCTCGCTCCCTCACAGGGAGCCCGCACCGCACACTGCTCGCGGTGCCTCCGAGCTAACCCGTGCTCACCCAAGCCCCGCTAGGGCTGGTACTACATCCCTTTAACCAGGGCTGCCCGTAATGACAACACATTACCGGCCGTGGCTTCGCAAGAAAGAGTGACGAGCAACGGCAAGCAATCAACCTGGAGGAAGGGCGGAAAAGCACCAAGCATCGAACAAGCCAGCATCGCAGAGGACCAGCTGCAAGCGCAATCGTGCACCGCCAGAGAGCACGGAGCAGGAGAGAGCGCGCAGCCAGCGCCACCAGCTCCACCGAGCAAGGGTGGCTGCCACCAGCGAACGAGCTACGAGCACATCTTGCATCGCCAAAGAGTACGAGCAGGAGGAAGGGTGTCAGCTGCTAGCGGACGAGCTGCGAGCGTGAATAGAGCACCTTCAAAGACAAGCGTCGTGCTGACTCAGCTCATCCAGCAGTGAAAGGAGCCTGCAGCTGCCGCCGAGCGAGAGAGAGTGAGGAAGCCGTGTGTATGATACACCCACACACACACCACTCATCGCAACAAGGAATGCCCAACCTCGACGTCTGCTTAACGCAAAGAGTTGAGCTAGGAGACAATCCACCCACACACACATAACGGGCATATTGGGACTAATAAGAGTACTCCAAAGTTCTATCTGTGTTTCAAAAAGGGTGGCCATCCTAAGGTGGTGCATCAACTATTAGCTGATCATGAAAAACATTGCTGCCCATTGATTCACGTGGGATATGGTCGTTTAGAAGTATTTTAGTCATTCTTTTTGTTAATTGCATAACTGTACCAATGAATTAATTGATGAAACTAAACATTTCGAAACTTATGTTACGTATCTACACACTCACAGGGAGACTTGTGTTGAAATCTTTTTTTTTTATCACAGAATCTTGCCCGCAATTTATTGAAGCCTTAACCAATTGATAAGCATTTGCTAGACAAGCAGGCACACTGCCGCACACCATTGTTCCAAGACATTTCGTTAATTGCATAATTTTATCAATGAATCCATTGAAGTCTACTTTTGCTTTCAGAACATGTTTCTTTATTGCTGTTCGTATGAATATTGTTACATTCATTTTTAAGAACTTTTTCCTATCGCCGTATATGCTTGCTTTACTCTGAGGAATTCATAGATTGCTCTGTTACCCAGTTTAACAAACGTAATCATTGAGGGTTAAATGTACGGATCAATGAGGAGAACATCTCCAGGAGTACTGTTGACTATTCCAAGCAAAAGAGTTCGTATATTCGAGTGTTATGTTTTTTTTGTTTAGAGATTAAAGTTGCTTAACACAGAAGTGTCTGAGTGGTGCCTTCCTAAGTTCATACATAATAATCTTGATTATAAGAACTGTATCCTGCGAAGAGATTTGAATTATGAGACCTGACATAATCATACTAAAACATAATCAGTAAAGTTAAAGTGAAATTCATTGTATTATCCCGATTGATAATACAACCCTAGACAATGAAGCCGAGCTTAATTAGCATACTAACATCACACTTGCATAACTTCATACCATTAATTGTATTATCCGGATTGATAATGCAACCCAGGGCAACGAGGCAGAACCCAATTATCATAATTGAATACCTTAGCATAATTGCATGCACTTGCATATCATAATACAATAACGGATCTAATTAGCATACATTATGTGCATAATTGTATAAATTAACATAACTTTGGAACATTATCCGTTTTCCCATTTTCACTACATTTTTCTTATTTTAGTCATTTTTCAAGACCCGATATATGCAACACGGAGACGCACAAACACGTCGGTGAATCCACTTATTTTGCAATAAAATAATGTGTCATAGGACGCCATTCCACGAATGATTAATTATCGAAGTTTCTGTGGACCCTGCTGTTCCCGTGGATTAAAACGTCGCCCATGACAGTTCATCTGGCAGCAAGACAGCTCTGCCTCCTTTGCATGTTTGTTCCTCGACATTTGTTTAGGATGCAGCTTGGAAGTGACCATTAATAACCAACTCAAGGCAAGCCTGAAGGTTCTTGTAGGCCATAGGCACTTCTGATAATTATCATATTTCGCTACTGGCAAAGGAGGTTCCAATGGTGTAAATGCTTACCCGAGCTCTCGTACTCTGACGCACTAGTGCGCCTTTTGGCGTTATCTGGTCCAACACCATGTGAGACTAGGCTATAAGAAAAGCTGTCTCGGTTGTGGACCAATCAATTTCAAGGACAGTGCATACATTATCAGAGTTGTGTTTTTTGTTTGCATTCTGACCGCAGGTATTGTGGTCAATGCAAACTTGACTCCTAATAAAAAAAGGTGTCAGTTTTGTTGCCAGATAAAAGGATAAAAAGCCAATTATCATTTTGCTACTGGCAAAGGAGGTTCCAATGGCATAGGCACTTCTGTTAGTAGGCCGTCAGTGATAACTTTCTACAGTTGGCACTGCTGCCCACTCGCTTGGTTGTGCGAAAAACACAATAGGTGTTATTGATAATTTTGCAATGAAAACATCTCGAAAAGTCCACCTACAATGTTAATTTCTCGCAACTTATGAAAAAAAAACGATTGAAATTACTCTGCCTTTTTGTTGATACACTGTGCCTATCCTTGCTATATCAATATATTTATTCAAGAAGATATCTTGGTAAAAATTTTTATCGTACAAACAACAACAAAACATTGTAACATTTTTGTTTTCGTCAGCCCTAGGCACAGTGCCTACTTTGGCCTATTGGATAACACGGCCGTGACCCAGAGAGAGAGATGTCTCGTCGAGCTTGAGAACACGGTGGCTAAGAGATGTTCACTACCTTGCCTAGTATACAGGAAGTCGTGGCTTTGATCCCGACCTGGACGATACCTGTTGTATATTGGAATTGTGCGGTGTCTCTCTCTCTCATTCTCCATGATAGCATAGATTTTTCTCCGGATCCTCCGTTTTTTTTCTCTACATTTAAAATCTACGTCATGCGTTTAGAGTATTTGTATGCTGCTAAAAATGTCCACGTGACAATAAGCCACTTCGTTGAGCAATCATTTGTGGCAAGATGACTTCTGAAAAAAGAGCTGCATATAGCAGTGGGGCCTTGCCTTTCCCACACCTCCGATCTGCATGGTTGGCTGCGCACGGTGTAAAAGAAGTTCAACATAAATACCTGGAAAAATAAAAATAAAATAGATGACTGCTATGTTTGAATGGCATTGAGGGGAACTTCTTGCTCAGTCGATCTATGAAGGAACAAGAGAGACAAAACAATTAGCTTCAGTTTTGAGAGTAATAACAATAGATGAGTTTGGTGGATTCCATTTACGATATATTAATTATTTGGATGGGAATGGTGGGGTTATAACACATACTTGTGGCTGGGAGACGGGAGTCATAATAATAATGATTGTCAGTTTAACAGGTAGGAGGCTTTCACAAACCAATAGTATTCATAATAAATGTTTTTTTAGGTTAGATCGTGTAAGACCGAAACAGGGGAAGGATTTCTCCCCAACTCTGGCTGTTGCCTGATGAGGCTGAATTGTAATTATCGGCGAAACGTCACAAGGGTACTGGAATTGTAATGTAGTTGTGGGTTACTCTCCAACACACTACCGGGAACTAATAACTAATTAATATGTTTTGTTTACGTGACAAACCTTACTGATTGGCTGTCGGGTGGTGGCGACGGGTTTAACAACACATTTACACTTACACAATCTAACTCAACAAAACTTCTTATTGTGAATAATAATAATAATTTCGATTAACAAAACGTGCATTTCGAAACGCTGGGCATTGAGAAGCATGTATTTTTTTACGTAAAAAGTGATTTATTTTATTTTATTCTTGCATTCATATAAATATGTTCATGAGCTGACCGCCAATGTTGAAGTCTTGATAGCCACCAAAAAAATTGCCTCAGGCCAGAGATTTTGCGCAGTTTTGCCATTCCTCTAGTACAAGAGCGCAGACTACGGTGGCTTATGATATGATCCATAGGTTGGCTTGCATGACAAACAATCGCATTTCTGTGGCTTATCTTGAATGCATCTCCGTGAGTTCAGAAACGCAGTCTGAAAGCTTGCTGAAACAAACTAATTTGTTGCAGCGTATTAAGGCAGACTAAACACCAGTATTTTCAGGACATCCTTGGATTCACAAGGTGATCCCAAACGTATCTGTAAGACCCTGAAGGAAGGCCCTTGAAGGTAAAAGGTCTGAGACTGCGAGTGGCAGTCGCCTTCCTGATCAAGTTGGGTAACTCCTGCATGGATCTGCCAGTCCAGTGGTATGATTTTCGATCCACCAATTGACCAATCACACCCCACCACGAAACATGAATTTAAAATCCTACATATTTCAGACAACGAAGTATTAACCTCTATATATATATATCACTTCTATATATGACAAAACAACTTCCTCTGGTGATGGTGCCGATGGCCCTTCCCAACTTTGCACTTCATTGATGGGGCAAACCCTCATTGCAAAACGCCCGAGGCCAGGGAGTCGGAAACAACAATTACAAGAAGAGGCATTTTGATAAACTGGACTACCATGGTAAACTGGACTGTCATGGTTAACTGGACTCCCATGGTAACCTATTGTTTTGATGCCTTGCACCAAGCTTGCATTTCGTGGTAAAATATCAGCAGAGATGTATGTACCCTATGCAATTCGAATTTTTGGTTAATTGTGTAGTGACATAGAATCGGTCAAGTAGCAGCATAGCGCTGGCTGCTGGCAGGGAAGGGGATCTGCAGCTTACAGCAGCCTTGACTGACAGCAGGCCACGTGATAGACCAGAGAGGGATCTAGGGGAAAGGTTACGGAAAGGGCACATCGAGAACCTGCTAGTAGGTTCCAGAAGGGGGCGTGGCCGGGGTCGGAGACAGGCCATGCTGACAGTATAAGAGGAACCCCGGGAGGGGACCTCAGGGCTGTCGTTTTGAGTGGGATCCCATCGTGCTGCTGGAGTCTTCTCCTCGCCTTCGTCTTCCTCTGCCCTGCTGACCTCTGCTTCCTCGGGCCCACAGGAAAGTCGTGATGCATCAAACACCCGGCCACCACAGTCACTTCACGCATCTCCCTGTTCGAGCGCATCGGGTTCGCACACTGCTATCCCTCATCATGTCACGGTACGCGAACGTCGGATTTCGGCATGTAATGGGTGGCCGCAGGGCGTGGGGCCATGGACTGCATTGGCACAATGTGTTGTGGCAGCGGCGGTGGGATCGTCCACTGTTGTCGGGTTCGTGCAGGGTGTCGAGCTAAGGGTGCTCATTGATATGGGAGTGTCGGCTAGTATAATTTCAGAACTTATTTATAAGTCTTTGCTGCCGAGGTCATGTTGTCTTAATCCGGTGAATAGTGCATGTGTTGCCGCTAATGGCGGGAATTTGGGTATTATTGGCCAGATATTGGCGACAGTACGCATTGGGGACATTTAATTGGCGGGGCCAGTGTTGGTTTCTCAACATTGGCCATACCCTGTCCGTTGGGCACCGATTTCCTCAGAAGGATGCCCCTTTAGATCCTCATGGATAAAGGGTGTATTGAACTGGTCTCGGGGCGGCGGTTGGCATTTTTGAAGTCCCCAACTTGATTGAAGAGGCCCGATGCCACGGTTCAGGCCCTAGTGAAGGAGACCGTCATGGTTCCTCCAGGCGCTCAGATGTTGGTGCCTTTGCGGCTGCAGAAGCAGCTTGATCACGCAGACACGATTGGAGGGGTCCTTTTAACCCCTTCAAACAGAGTGATTCGGGGTCTCGCGTTGGTGGGGGCCCAAACGATAGTATGGGGGGACCAGGATCCCTTTCTGCAAGTGTTGAACGTCGGGTTTGGGCACCGTGGTGGTCCAGGCGGTTACGGTCTTGGCCCACATGACGATTGCGTGTTGTGAGGAGGCCAGCGATATAGCCGCAGAGGTCGTTGCCATGGTGGAGCGGGGAGGCAAGTCAGATGAGGCTTGGATGGATGCGCTGTGTAAAGAAACTTCTAAGTTGTCCGGTGAGCAGCGGGGCGAGTTGCGTGCATTGCTCCGGGAATTTGCTGATATTTTTAGTCAGGAGAAATATGATATTGGCTGCACGTCACTATTGCAGCACCATATTTATTGATATGCGTAACACCGCTCCTATACGTCAAAATTCGTATAGGCCAAGTCCCAAGGAAAAGGACCATGTTCGCCAGGCGGTTGAGGAAATGTTGGCTGCCGACATTATCTCCCCTTCCACCAGTCCGTGGGAGGCTTCCATTGGTTTTAAAGCGGGATGGGAGTTGGCATTTTTTTTGTAAATGAAGTCTCCGTGGTGAACGCACACCCGTTCCCACGGATGGATGACTCCTTGAACGCCCTGTCGGGTGCACAGTTTTTCTCCACCCTCGACCTGCTGTCAGGGTTTTGGCAGTTGCCTTTTGATGTAGGTTCCAAACCTAAAACCGCATTCCGAACACTCCAGGGATTGTTCTAATTTAACTGTCTTCCGATGGGTCTTCACTCCGCTCTGGCCACATTTCAGCGATTTATGGAGCTGGTCTTCGCAAGTCTTCAATGGGACTCGTGCCTCATTTATTTGGATGACGTAATTGTGTTCGGACGCACGTTGCAGGAACACTTGCAGCAGTTGCAGTCGGTGTTTGTCAGGGTGCGGGCGGCCAACCTTAAATTCAAGTCGCAAAAGTATCATTTTTTGCAGACATCGGTTTGCTATTTGGGCCACATTGTCAGCGAGTCCGGGATAGCTACAGATCCCGATAAAACTGCGTGTGTGTGCACATGGCCGACCCCCACATCAATGGGTAAAGTCCGCAGTTTTGCTGGGTTCACGTCATACTACCGCCGGTTCCGACCCAAGTTTTCGACTATCACTAAACCGCTCTACGGGCCAGAGATTTCAATGGGAGGAGGAGGCCGCATTTGTCACACTGCGTGATGGCCTCGCCAACGTACCTCCCCTTGGATACCCCAATTTCTCTCTGCCGTTTGTGTTGGATACAGATGCCAGCGACACCGGAATCGGCACTGTACTGTTGCAGGTGAACGTTGTGGAGAGGGTTTTCGCTTATGAAAGCCATGTGCTGTCCCCCGCAGAGCAGCATTATTGTGTTGACGCACCGTGAATTGTTGGCCATTGTGCATTTTGTACAGCAGTACAGGCCGTACCTTTGCGGAAGGCAATTTATCATGCACACGGATCATGCGGCCCTTCAATATGCTTTGCGGGTTGACCAGCCGTCAGGCCAACTTTCCCGCTGGTTAGAAACTTTGCAGGAATACTCTCTCACGGTCACCTACAGGAGGGGTGCACGCCACTGCAACGCGGACGCGTTGTCGCGGTTACCGCCGAGGGATCGCTGTGCATGTTTGATGGGTGTCGGCCGATGTAAACCTGCAGCTGCAGGATCTCCGTGCACTGTTGTAGCATCGGTTGATGTTCCACCACCCGCGGCAACCGCTCCCTGTGACAACATGATTGGTCTCACGCACGCTGAATGTGGCTGCCTTCAGGTTGAGGATGCATCCTTATTAAAATTACGGTGTCACGTTGGAACGAGAGGTAGTAAAAAGGTACCAGCAGGAATGTCTCTCATAGCCCTTCGTGATGGGCTGTTTGATGGGGTGGGGTGAGAAATTGCAGTGTTACTGCACGGGTTGTCCACATAAAGTTAATGCGCCTTGGGGTGCGGAAAACGTTGTTTACCTTGAAGCGTGACTTATTTTGGCCCGGAATGTCGAAGTATGTGTACCACATGGTCAAATGTTTTGTTGAGTGCGCTCGCCGAAAGCCCCCACCAAGGCAGGCCCAGCCACCGTTGTAATTCATTGTGATGTCTCGTATTAACGAGCTCATTGCTCTCGACATCCTCGGCCTGTTTCCCGCCACTCAGAGGGGAAGCAAATTCCTTTTTGTCGGGGTGGAATATCTGTCCCGGTGGCCGTTGGCATGGCCTCTGCTGGATCAGTCGGCCACGTCCATCACGGACACATGGGTACGTTTTGGAGAAAGGGGCCCTGGACCACCTCCTTACAGACCGGGGTCGAAATTTTTCATCAGATTTGTTAAAGAAGGTGTGCGACTCCCTGGGCACTAAAAAGATCCGGACATCGCCCTACTACCCCCAGACTGAGGGGATGGTAGAGCGCTTGCACAGGACTTTTACGTCCATGCTGTGCCAACAGGTTAATGAGACACAGTCTAAATCTTGACTTAAATCTTTCGTGACTTGCAGGAATTCATATTCTTGGGTATTTCGGTAAAGTCACATAGATAGGTTCAAAGAAAATAACAAAAAAATTCCCAAAAACTACGACATTTCGATCACAACAAACTGAAGATGCCCGCTTGTGTTGCGATCGAAATGTCGTAGTTTTTTGTTATTTTTGGGTTTTCTTTTTTTAACATATCTACGTGACTTTACCGAAAAACTCAAGAATATGAGACAGTCTGACTGGGATTTGCACGTTCCGCATGTTCTTGCCGCGTATAGAATGGCTCCCCATGCCTCAACATGGTTCTCCCCCTTTGTCCTCATGTATGGGACGGGATGTGACTCCCCATGGAGGCTCAGTTAGGCATGGACCTGGGCGAAAAGAAGGTCGCTGAGCCCATGCCCACGAAGCTTATGATCAGGCGGCTGACGGAAGCGCAGGAGGCATGTCAGGGAAATTCTGCCAAACAGCAGGCCGCCAATGATAAACTTGTAGGACTCTGTGAATCCGGAAACCCATGGACCCCTAGGGACAAGGCATGGATACATTGCCCCCAGGTAACCCTGGGCACATCCCCTAAATTGCACTGGCCATGGCACAGCCCGTTGAGGTGATTGAGGTCAGAAGGCCGCATTGTGTGCGTATCCAGGTCAGGTTGCAAGCACCTGAGTGCCGGGTGTCTGATGTGTCTAGCGAGCCAGGGCGAGCAGGCTTGGAGGGTGCGCCTCAGCAGGATTCCATACAGATGGACTGGTGAGTGATGTCAGCCGAGACGGCTTAATTTTTTTGTTTTTACGGGGGGGGGGGGGGGTGATGTAGTGACTTAGAATCGGTCAAGTAGCAGCATAGCGCTGGCTGCTGGCAGGGAAGGGGATCTGCAGCTTGCAGCAGCCCTGACTGACAGCAGGCCACATGATAGACTAGAGAGGGATTTAGGGGGTTACGGAAGGGGCACATCAAGAACCTGCTAGTAGGTTCCAGAAGGGGGCATGGCCGGGAGCAGAGCCAGGCTACGCTGACAGTATAAGAGGGGCCCCGGGAGGGGACCTCGGGGCTGTCGTTTGGAGAGGGATCCCCGTCGTGCTGCTGGAGTCTTCACCATCGTCTCCGTCTTCACCATCTCGGCGTCGCCAGTCAGGCAGTCTACCAGCTGTCCTAACTGGGAACCATAGTTACCAAGTGTAAACTGTTAGGCCGTGTTAATATAAATAATTTCCATTGTTTAAGCACCAGTTTTGCCTACAACTCTTAACGTGTTATACATTCCATTGTTGCATTCATCCTCCGTTTGGGTCACTTTGATGCTGTTGTCTTTCTAGGCTTATGCATCACAGACCCCCTTGCAAACTAATAGGGGGACTGGCTAAAACGCGACTTTGCGTGTAACAAATTAAAGTCTATTGATATCATTTTTGTCAGCAGAAAAATATAGCTTGTGTTGCAATCGAAAAAATTTGGTTTTATTCTTTGTTTTTTTCGGTAAAGTCACGTATAAAGATAAAATAATAAATAAAATAATAGCATACTACGACGTTTCGATTGCAACACAAGCAATCATCATCAGGTATAAAAGAAATAGCAACAAAAATCTAACCAGAAAACTATAGACAGACATATAAGCAGACAGACATCATAAATATGTCTGTCTATAGTTTTCTGGTTAGATTTTTGTTGCTATTTCTTTTATACCTGATGATGATTGCTTGTGTTGCAATTGAAACGTCGGTGTATGCTATTATTTAATTTATTATTTTATCTTTATACGTGAATTTACCGAAAGAACCAAAGAATAATTCCTGCAGTCACGAAAGCTCCAAAATTAAGATTGAATTTTGGTTTTTATTAAATTTAAAATTTTTATTCATTTCATTATTTTATCTTATTATTTGCTATCTACGTGACTTTACCGAAAGAACCAAAGAATACAGAAAAATATATCCGAATAAGTGTGAGCTACATAATCATGGAACCCATAAGACATGCAACTTTCTCGTACCTCTGCGTGATTTCTTGTTGTGTCGATTCAGATTTCCACTTTTTACAGACATAGTATCCGAAGGCACCACTTAGAAGACAAACAAGGACTGCCACTAAAGCTATACTTATACGGATGTAAGGTGACTGAGGCACCAATTCTGGAAACAGACAGACAACAGCGAACGTTACGTTGCAAATTAGCAGCTGATTCTCCACTGCAATTCAGAGCAAACCTAATCTATGAACAAAACCATTTATATTGTTCCAGGTAAGGCCTACTGAGCTGGATAGCTTTTTTTAACCGACCAGGCCACAAATTATAGCTCATTGAAGTGGCTTACCATGTGGACATTTGGACCTTATTGGGTCCCATAAGCTCTCACATAAACATTATAATATAATGTAAACAAAAACTTTGCTCTTTTTTACCAACGGGTTTGAAGGATGGTGGCAAGTGTTGTCTTGTTAAACTATGCCTTTAAAACTGAAAACTACTTACCTGCAGTACCTCTATTTAAATACACTATCGAAAACATAATTTCCCCCCCCCCTCTGTCAATCATCGTGTTTCTCAGTGTGGATTTGTGAACACACTTTGTAAACAATACGTAAAATTGTACCCGTTTATAATGTGCTTGGTGTATTTCGCAAATATGCCCGACTGTAAGGGCGGGCACAAGCCGGCGTGAGTAGGTTAAACGTTGAGTTTTATAAGGGCACCACAGGGTGACCAGCCCCTCCCCACCCAGCCCCACCCCTCCCACCCCCCACCCAGTCCCACCCTCCCCACCCAGCCCCTCCCCACCCTCCCCACCCAGCCCCTTCCCACCCTCCCCTCCCCACCCAGCCCCACCCTGCCCACCCAGCCCCTCCCCACCCTGCCCTCCCCACCCAGCCCCTCCCTCCCCACCCAGCCCTCCCTGCATGACGGACACAATAATCCCCTGTTGGCTGGTGTAACCAGGAGGTTCCTAACAGTATAATGAAGATAATAGAGCAGTTTCACTGTATTATGCATACCGTTATGACAAATAAAGGACTAAAGTTGTGTAGGCAGTTTGAGCAGCTTTGGATAAAACTTATGATCCTGCCCATACCCGAGCATGGAGTGCATTCGCTTGTTCAGCTCTTCTGCGCATTCGTCCTCGCTGTTGCGCTTGGATGACATGACAACAGAATGATCCACGCCAGGTGGGTCGCGGCGTTTATGTGTGTGGTGGGACGGAGTGGCCAAAAATAAATACATTAAGTACGATTTTGACTTCCGTTTATTCTGGACCACGGGGTCCCGCCATAAGGTTCAACTGTATTTGGGCTGCTGCTATAATCGTCCACGTGAAAGAACGCTACTTCGTTGGCCAGGTTGCGTCTGAGAAAAATATATGCAGCTCAAAGGGCCTTTTCGGGTAAAATAAACAAAATAGTTTGGTTTCTAGAGCTTAAAAGGCAGCGACTCTGAGCAAATTAAACAGTGAGCTTTTAGCAAGCGAAAATAAAACATGACCCGACTTGACAGTATTTTCTGATCGTTTCATCTTCACCCACCAAAAAATGTCGAGGGAAAAACCGGAGGACCCGGATAAAAATGCATGCCACCAACACGAGAAGAGAACTTGTGGACTCCAAATATATAACAGGCATCATCAGGGCCTGGTACAGAACCCAAGACCTCCTGACTAACAGGCAAGTGAGATAGCATAGACGTGGTGCCCCACACTCACCGCGTCCCTCGTCCCTTGTGGCCACCACCTCCAGGATGAGCGATGTTTGACCCTCATTGAAGGAGGGCAGCAGCAGCACTTGGCACAGGTAGGATCCTGAGTCGGAGGGCCGCACGTCACGTATAGCGATGGAGGCGTTGCACAAGTCGGTGGTGCCAAGCCAGTGAGCTCGCTCCAAGAAGGTAACCTCTCCCTTGCTGTTCTTCGAGAAGATCTGCAACGTCCAGAGATAAAGTAAAGGGTGAATTGATAAATCGTCATCACACCGACAACCAAATACAAATTCCCCTTGTATAGCCTTAACAGACTGTTGAGGGCCAATGCTGTTAGCGAGCAGCACCTATGAAGGCTGACACGGCACATGAGAGGGTGGGTGGCCAGCACCACGCCTGGCCGCCTTTGTCTCCAGAGTGGCAATGTTTTAAACATTGCACCAGGTACTCATTTGAGGCTGAGTCGATCTAGCGCAGGCCCAGGACCAGTTCAGATGATCTTCACTAGTGTTCCCCATGAGTGGGAATCGGCCTTAGGTCACCACGTTCGGGCTGATGGTAAGGCCAGACATCTTTGTAGCACGCTCCTTTTCTAGCAGCAGCGCCTCCAACTCCTCTGAATGAGCAGCAATCACCAGATCATCAGCATACATAACGTGGTTAACCAATAGGGAACCATCCATCGACCGCACCCACGGAAGGATCGGACAGAGAGAGAACACGTGGTCTCCAAATATACAACAGGCATTGTCAGGGTCTGGGATCGAACCCAAGAACTCCTGCATACCAGACGAGGGAAATAACATGTCGCCACCATGGCACCCAGACTCAGAAGCGCTAGGAGTAGGAACCACACTATGGGCGGGAAGGCAGCAGCAGTTACGCAGTGAACCGGGGCTACCAACAATTGCCCCAAGCTTTGCCGGCCCTCTGCATATGCAGGTGTTGTGTTGGAGAAAATCTGAGCAGCCAGAGAAAACCCACGCGTGCGTGCGAGGGGGAAACACTCAATCCCATCGTACAGACAGGTGGAGTCCACACGCACTCTGCTGCTGTACCACCTTCTCCTGACAGAGCCAGGGGTACGGCTCCTCCTCGATGCCCACCCATGGGAATAAGGAATGGGTATAAGGAACAGATAGAGATTAGTCCACACACTTTACTGTACCTGTGGTGCCACAGCAACGGAGCAACTCTGCCAGCGCTGCTATCCCCTCGCACCCCCCCCCCCCCCACACGAACGCACGCACACCCCCACTAAACACACACATGCACCCACGTAGGGTCTCGTGGGGGGTCACCTGGTACCCTGGGTTTTTACCCAAGGGGCCCCTCGTGGGGACGTCCCACGGTTTCCCAGTGCCAGGAGATTGGCCGACCCCCCCCCCCCAGGCCGAATTGCATTGCGGCCCCGTGAATTAGCTTAAAATTGTATGGGCACAACGAGCTCACCAAGCAAACCGCAGTGAGAACGCACCCAGCACTGGGGAATAGGGCCTTGGGGGAGCAAAACACCCAGCGAGCAATGCACGAGAGGAGGTGGGAGGGAAATTCCTGAGCTGACTAAAGCTAAACCTCAACCGGATGGCCACCCTGATGAAACCAGTTGAGTCCGGGGGAGAGGACGGATGCGCAAACAATGGATGAAGGCACGCCGGCGGCGCCGCGCCAGGTAGGGGCGGGGCATCGTTTTAAAATCGAAAGGTAGGCACCCGAATGGTCGGCGGGGTAACACCACGTGACCCTGGATTTTTGGATTCGGAGGAGACAAAGAGAAGGAAGGAAAAAACGTTAGTCAGTTCTCCTCGAGTGGTTCAGCTACCTGGTCGGACTCCCAGCCACTCGCAGCGTCCGAGCGACGCGGGTGAGTGCTGCTACGACTCGACCCCAGGCAGAGACCTCTCGGTCCCTCGTCCCTCCGACTCCCACCACATCCGTGTGACACCGTGAGTACATCCGCGGGGTGAGAAGTAGCGTAAGGGTCCACCTAGGGTTTGACTAGGAATAGATTTGGCGCTGCTCGCTGAGAATTTTGCTCCGGGCCACGCAGGGTTTTTCTTCCGGCGCACCAATAATAAACTTTAGTACAGAACACCGACACCGCGTGATTTCTGTGTGTGTTGGAAGAGCGTAGGTATGGTGTGAGTACGTGCATACATGTGAAGCGCGCGTGTATTCAATCAAACGATCGCTGACGTTCGCGTGCGTGTTTACATAGCGTGTTTTAGGCAGTGTGTTCTTGTAGCGACCATAGCACTCAGCGGTGGAACGCGCGAATATTATCGTCAACCCGGCCGTCGTTTTTGCCCTTGTGCCCGTGCCCGCATGCGTGTTCGCACGGCGGATTGAGGCCGACCCAACGGGAGGTGGGGAGAGACGCGTGCATATTCATACGGCTATTTATAGCGCGAGCCGCAGCGTGCACCTGCACGGCACGCGCGTGCAAGTAGCCACCTCGGGATTAGTGGTGGTGTTCATACGGCTATTTTTAGCGTGAGCCGTGGTGAGCAACCTGCGCAGGCACGCGCGAGCACGCAGCCATCTTCGGACATTTGGGGGTAGTGTATGTGGGGAGTGTGTAGGATAACTCCAGACGTGGTGAGCAGCGTGCACCTGCACAGGCACGCGCATGCAAGTAGCCACCTCGGCATTAGTGGTAGTGTACGTGGGGAGTGTGTGGGATAACCCCAGGCGGTGGGGAGCCAGCCACTAGCCATGTCCCTCAGAGATAGACGCTGGTGCGGGGAGACCAATCACCCGATCGGCAGCAGCCCGGCGAGAAGGGGTGGAGAAGGAGGGGGGAGAGGAGGAGGGGGGCCTCAGCCCCCACATAATGGTGTCAGAAGTGGTACGACCCCCCACACCTCGAAGAGAGAGAGTCGCCCCACCCCAAGCTAAGGTAAGATGGGTATTCACCAGGCAAGGGATTCCTTCATGGAAGTCGTTTGCCCACCTCACATACGCAAAATATATGAATGGCTGGACGGACGCGCAAGCGTTACAACAGCTAAACATGCATTTGGATGGGCGGGCAGCCGACTTTGTAGAAGCGCTACCCGCAAGCGTGCAAGCGCAGTGGGGTGAACTAATACACCGACTCGACCAACGCTTCGGCACGCGCAATGAGGAGGCAAAGGCGGCACTAGATGCGCGCCGCTGCCAGCCTGCCGAAGACCTCCGCAACTACACCGAGGACGTGCGCTCGCTAACGCAGAGCGCACGCCCAGGGTACGCTGCGGAAATAATTGAGGACCTCGCCGCCGAGAAGGTCCAGTAATATCTGACTGGCACCTCGTGGTGGCAGCCCGATGTAAGCTGCACGCGCCTTCCATTTAACACCCTTGCTGAGTGCGCACGTGCATGCGAGAGACTCGCCAGTGAGCGCGCAGTTCCGAGGGCTGGGACGGGAGCGCACCATTGCGAGCCTTCTTGCAGAGCAGGAAGAGGAGGAGGAGCTCGCCAGGATGGTAAGGGGGGAGCGAGGGAGCCTCCGGGACCCCACGAGACAGCCCCAAGATGGATGGCAGGGCTACAGACTGGCATAGGGGATATAGCCGGTCAAGTGACCCATGTACGCGAAGAGGCGAATCGAAATATGACCAAGCTGCAGTCTACAGTTGAGACAATCCAATCCGAGATGGGAGAGCTACGCTCCACGGTAGGGGGGCTGACCGGGCAGGTGTCTCAGAGTCAGAGTTCGGGCAGATGGGGAGAGGGAGAGGAAGTGGGCAGGTGGCCTCCTACGGAGTCGCCACCCTCCCCCGGGCGTGTTATCTATGCGACCGTCAGGGGCATCTCGTGAGAGACTGTCCCCAGATCACCTGCGCTAGACACACGCCAGGGTTAAACACCAACGCCCCCTAAGAGTGGACCAACTAGGGGTGCAATCGACATGGTCCCAATACAGATAGACGATAATAATAATGGTGAGCAATAATAATAATGACCTCCACGCAGATGCCGACAACAACACCCAAGGACACGGTGACTGCAGGCGACTGGCTGCGGGAGCTGGTGGTGGGAATCACGGGGGCCACGTCGCTAGTGGAAGGACAGGTAAATGGGTGGCGTACCCGGATTCTGTTGGACACGGGGGCGGTAGCCTCGCTCGTGAGCCTGGCATACTGCAACGTGGTCGGGGTGACGTGGGCCGCCTACAGGCCCCGGACCACGTGCTGCACATGGCGAGTGGAGCCGGGATGGGACTGCTGGGGAGGGTCACCCTGGAGGTCCATCTCGGACGCCAGGTGTGTGACCAAGTATTCTACGTGTCGAGCGTGTATTGGAAAAGTTGGGGCTCAATGTACAGCCCAACCAGCGATGCGCCACCGTGGAAGGCAGCGGGGAGCAGATTCCGTTCCTGGGACAGGAGCCGGATCGCCCCCGCTTCACAACCGTGGCCGCTACCCTGGTGTCGGCCGTCACCATCGGGCCGCTCGCGGAGATGCTGGTGCCGGTGGAAACACCCTCCACCGACCCCGCACACCCAACCATCGGGTGAGGTAATGCTGACTCCTCACCCGGAGTTGGTGGCATGGGGTTGTGGGGTCAGCCACGCTAGTAAACGCGGACGGGGGCCGACTGTTTATGCGAGTATTTAACCCCCACGGTACCCCAGTAATGCTGCGACGGCGCACCACGGTAGCCACAGTACACCCCTTGCACGTACGCCACTCTAACAACTCAGTGTTTGCCCTCTGGGCTGAGGACCCCTGCCGCCCCGAGGACAACCAGGACATGGCCTGGCGAGTCGGCCCAACTTCCAGAGACGAGGTCGTCCCGCTGCTTGACGCGCTATATGTACCCTGGGCAGATTTACCCAAGGGGGAGGCAGATCAGCTGCGTGGGTTATTGCGGGAGTACGCCGACATGTTCAGTGCGCACGATTCGGATGTGGGCCGGACAGACCTCGTCAAGCATCAAATTGACACAGGTGCCGCCCAACCCATTAAACTCCCTGCATACCGAGTGGGTGCACCTGAACGGGCCCACATTAAAGAGGCAGTCATGGATATGCTCCGCGAAAACATAATCCAGCCCTCAGCGAGCGCCTGGTCTGCCCCGGTTGTACTGGTGACGAAAAAGAATGGGTCGACCCGGTTTTGCTTGCATAATCGAAAGTTGAATGCAGGTACCCTCAGCGACGCCTTCTCCATCCCTCGCATCGATGACACGTTTGAAAGCCTTGCAGGGGCTCGATCTAGCATCCGGGTACTGGCAG